ATATCAGACTTTTCTTTGATAAAAGTTCTAACACATTAAAAATATTTGCCAATGGGCAATAAAATGTAACCGATTGCTCATCATAATGAAATGTACATACACTAATATTACAGTACACTAAATTTAGTTGGCGACAGGATTGGCTCTATATTGCATGAATTTGGGCATTTTTCCCTCAGCAACTATAATCTAAATGGAATGAATTCTGAATTATTGAGTGTGCTATTTGTGCTTAGGCCCTGTTGATTGCTGGTTGTGGTTTATTTTATCTCTCTCGAGCTTAAAGACACCAAAACGTGACCTTTTATTTATGTTTTACATACAAATTATGACAGTTGGTAGAGACAAAAGGAAGAGGTGCTGTGAGTGATGCTTTGTAATGAATATCATGCATAACATGTCCATACTACCTGACAAATGTGGCTGAAGTAGTCTTGAGAATCATACCTGTCTCTTTGAGCTCTCGTAGGCTTTGGAAATGCATGGTGAGGGAAAAAGTCAAGATGTTGTAGTTATAGCATCCACCAGCAGGGGTTCACTAGGCCTGTTCGCAGTCCGCCAACATATATCATACCCTAAAACTATACTCTTTTTGTGGGAAAAAAATGGAGATAGTTTTTGAATGTATAACAGAATAGTAGGCAAGCTTTGGGACATACTAACATGTCATAAAATTGTGCTCTTTTACATCCACCATGTTTGTGGTTCTGAATTGAATCTTCCTCCAAAGCACGATGGGTTATGGGCAATATTAGCCATTTCACAGATCTTCGAAAATCTACTGGAAATAGTAAACCATCCAGGGATATTTGGTGCACTGTTTTCTATGCTTTGGGACACACTTATTCTAATCGCACATATTATTTATTATGCACACTGGGATGCAGGGTTTGGTTTCCCGATGTGTTTGTAAGCAGGGGATTTGAAGGCATGTCAGAAGCTTATTTTTTACATGTACGTTTTTGTTTTTTGATTAATGATATGTTGAATGAATGTTTTCATTTTCTAGTGTCTTTTCATTGGTCAAATTTACTGAGACACTTAGAGCACTTGATCTACAGCATTAGTTACTGTACACGGCCTGCAGACTGGACATAGGTCAATATAGTTAATTCAGACAGGACTACTTTCACCTGTAGATATTTCTTCAAGGCATTTTATAGTAGGAAAAAGAAAGTGTAATTCTTTTAAATCACTGACATGACCAATTCAGACAGGATTAAAATCACAGAGGAACTGTGGTAGTTATTACATTACCCCGCCTCCCCGTGTAAAACTAATCCTGTCCAAATAGGGCTATAGATATAATTGTTTCTACATTAGTTAATAGGCTTTCTTCCCTCCAAACAATCCTCAGTTGTGGCCAAACTACGTGACTGTTATAAATTGGGTGTATAGAGACAGTACCTTGAGTTTTGTGGAGGAAAATAAACTAGAATAAATTCGACTTGGGCAATTTAGTCTTGCCAATGCTGAGCTATGGAGGCATCTCACTATTTGTTAAGATGGGGAATTTTATGTGGACAGCCTTATAGGTTTTATGCTCCTCTCCCACATGTGAAATTGTTGCCGAATTGCTCTCGCTGTTCGAGACTGGGATAATTTCGTTTGACAACACCTGTTCTAGTGCAATGTATTATTTTTCAGTGGGAATGATCTTCTCTCCTCTAATATAAGAGAATGGCCCAATACCATCTATACAAAACACTACCCACAAACCCTTCAGAGAGTCTGGCCTCTGTGTATAACTGGTTTCTGTTTCACCGTTTCACAAAAACAAACTCTATGCTCTATACCAAATGCAGTGGTTTCATTTGACTATTAAAGGAATAGTTCACCCAGAAATTAAATTAGCTGAAAATGTACACACCCTCAGGCAATCCAAAATGTAAGAGTTTGTTCATCTGAACAGTTTTGGAGAAATGTATATCACTTGCTCACCAATGGATCCTCTGCAGTGAATGGGTGCCGTCAGAATGCGAGTCCAAACAGCTGATAAACCTTTGCTTCTAGCCAAAATATGTCCATTATCCATAAAAAAACTCTTCCTACAATGAAGCAGTCCATCCCTTGTTGTCCTGTCACCGGACATATGACTTTATCTTTTTGAACTCTTCATTTTAAATGAAAGTGTTTGAGATCATTGTCCAAGCAAGATGTTTTTTTTAGGTTTCCAGCAGACTGAGGCAGGTTCTCTTGCAGTGTTTTCCTATCTATTGCACCATCCACTCTTCCTTTTCTTCCTTTTAACAACATGCGTACTCTATGTTGATGAGAAAAACACAAAGCAATATGCTATTGCCAGCATACTTCACTGAAGGAACGGAGTTCTTTTGCACCACACATATCACTATGATTTTATTTTTCATTTTTTTCTTAAAAGCTATCTTGCTTCCATGCATACCCACAAAACCTGAAAATGGGTCATTATCAAAGCCTGTTCCCAAAAAGTAATTGAGACTGTGTAGGTTTTTTGGGGATAAAAAAAAAAAAGTGAATGGATTTTACTCAAGTAAAAGTGACATTTTTATCTGATGTCCACTTTAACAATGGACTACTTAATCACTTTTATTTAATCAACAGTCAAATAAAAAAAAAATTATAATTGCACACATCCTCAAATTTCAGTGCATCTCTAATGCAAAGACACCCATATGTTTTTAAATGTGGCTCAAGTGTCCAGGGCCATTATGTGCCATTTTGTCTGACTCCAGATGTCTTTTCTGCCTGCCTTCTTATTATACAGATCTGTTCCTGTAGTTGAGCAGTGCACTGGGGCTTTGCTCTCAGTTACTGAACTGTATGTAAATGTCAGGGCAGCTTTTCAAATACTATAAGAGATCTCAGTGTTTCAGGCTGCTCCCCATATTGCTGAACCAATTGACTATAGCGTTAAAGGTGTTGTCTGGTGGACGAAAGCCTGTTTTACATGAAGACTTGCATTTTTCTTTGAGCAGAAGAAGGATTTCATCATTAATTTTCTTTCCCAGAGTACTCTTCTGTTTGAATGGTTCTTCACCCTTTTATCTTTTGGCTGTTTCTTTCTTTTTTTTTTCTTCACATGAAGAATTTTATTAACGCTGGTTTCAGGCCTGCATGTTAGTGGACTAAAGAGTTTGATAAGCGGAGCCGTAAGGATCAGATTCAACTTTTTTTTTTATTAAGGGTGCAAAACATACAACATATGGTGAACACAAAACACAAAAACAGCAGTAGAGCAGCAATGATAATAACAGCAATGAAAATAAACAGCAATGCCAATCTGAATAATAGAAGCAGTATTTAAGTAGTACTAGCATGCATAATAATAATAATAATAATAATACTAAAGATGGTGATTATAACAATAATATATTGTGATGACGGCAACAGTAATATCAATAATAATAAAAGTAATAATAATAATAATAATGATGATGTAATAACAATAGTAATAATAATAATGTAATAATGACACATACCCAACACATACCACATCCTAGCTTCTGTGTCAGTGTTCATGTTTTTTTTGTTTTTTTTTTAACAGATTCGAAGTTTAACGATATGGTCGTTTATGGCTGCCCTTTTTTTCATCCTAAAATGATGTGTGACTGTTTGTAAACTAATGACTTTTTGTGCTTTAACATTCAATACATTCAAATGTTAACATTTTGACTCAAAATGTGCTCTACCATATGATTGATGTGCTTTCAGAGGGTTAATATATATTTTTGCCACACTTGTTATTGTAACTTATGAGAGAATCGATGAACTCTTCCCCCAAAATGATCGGTGCTCCTTCAAAAGGCTTTGAGTTGATATAGGTATGAATTCTTTCTTGGAGCATAAATAGATTGTAAGTTTATGAGTCTACTTTTTTTTCGCTCTAAGCATGAATTTCCTCTCTCCTTCCCATCTCTAATTTTCCTGGAGGAATTTGACTGACCTAGTTAGCACAGTTTCATGCACCTTAAGAATCTTATAAAGGATATGTACAGCGCTGTAGATAGAATCAGCATGATATGATTAAGTAATGATGAGATGAATTATTTGGGTGTCAAGGAGGAAGCCTGATGCATCATTTAATGGTGTTTAATGCTGAGATAAAGAGAAGATGTGAGAATTTGTGCATTTTAGGTTGTTTTAGGCTGATTTATTGAGCAGTTTATATGATGGGTAATATAATAATGGTTCTAATCAGATTTCATGTGGACTTTTGTGCTAAGAGTTGATTTGATGTGTCTTTTTTTACGCATGAAAAATAAAATTATTCCAAAATTAGTTTTTGCTGGCAAGGAATAAGTCCAACACAATTATATGTGGGTATATGAAATGTTTTTGAGAAGTTGACATGATTGTGGGTATGCTGTACTTCATCTAAAATTACTGAGTGCAGCTCTTGTGAACTACAATCATATTAATTGCTTCATTTGTCACAACATAGGGCTTAATAACAAATGCAATTAAGGCAAAAAGTAAAAAAAAAAGAAAAAAATGGTAATGGATGAAATTGTGACCAATGATCTGATATGCTATGTAATCTTATATATTAACCTAAGATATATTTAAAAAAAAATTGTGCATCAGCTACCAATACATTCATCATTCGCAGATGTTTTCAACCTTTTTAGGTTGGGAATCCTCATTCTCAGTGCATTATTTAACTTGATACGTTTATGTAGTAAATTAGATAAATAATGCATTTAAGTTTTACTAAATTGCATTGCACAATCTGAAATGATATGTAATAAATATGCTTTCAGAAGGTTAACAGGGTTTACAGTTTTGCAATTTAATTTAACAAGCCTTGTGCTCAAGGTTGTGAAAGCACAACATCTTAGAAAGAGAAATCAAAGCAATCAAAGATATTTTCTATTAACATTTTAGCTGCTAGTTATTTACTGATGCAAAATCATGGTAACAGGACTGACATTTTAGCCCCCTGAGAAAAAACGACAACTAAACAAGATAAACTAAAATGAATGAATAAATAAATTGACTTCAACTTTTTTTTTGTACAGGTGATTCTCATGCTGACCAAACTGTATGACTTCAATCTGGGCAGTGTCACAGAGAGCTCCTTATGGAGGTAAGAATACAGATACTTATTCAAGGCTTCAATCTTTATGTGTACATGCAATAGGGAAATGTATTACAAGCATGTTATGTAATATACCTTTGTGTCTGTTTGTTCTCAACTCGTTAAAGCTTTTAAGCAAGTAGATAGTCTATGGAGTTGCATTTGTTTAAGCAGTGTGACAGTACAAACACGTGCAGTGTTGTGAGTTTTAAATCAACTGTGTATTATTAGTCTGATGAAGCTACATTAGCTGATTAATGGCATGTCTATCGCTGATTGTCCTTATAACCTCTCCAGATATCCAGCACACAGCTCACTGATCTGAGTGGACATAACATATGTGTATTAGAGCTGCTTGAATGGAGCTGGTGCTGAAAATCTTAAAGGGGTAGTTAACCCAAAAATGAATAATTCCAAATCTGTATGCTTTTCTTTCTTCACACACACGCACGCACGCACGCACGCACACACACACACACACACAAAGGTCTTCTGAAGAATTTGTTTTGGATTTGGGTCTCATTGGCTTCAATAGTATGGATTAAAAATGCTATGGAAGACAATGTGACCCAAAACTGTATAGTTGCAAGAATTCTTAAAAATATCTTGTTTTGTCAAAATTCTATCATCATTTACTCATCCTCATGTCATTCCAAACCTGCATGCACTTCTTCTGTAAAACACAAAAGAAGATATTATGAGGAATGTTGGTTTCAGTTTTGGGTCCTAATGACCTCCATAAAATGGATTAAAAATACAATAAAAGTCAGTGGGATGTTCAAAATATAAAAAATATTATTGGCTTCCATAGTAAGGACAAAAAATTCAGTGGAAGTCATTGGGACCCAAAACTGTTACCAACATTCTTCATTATATCTTCTTTTGTGACAATTCTGTTATCATTATCTCACCCTTCATGTTGTTCCAAACCCCAGATTAATTTACAGTGATGAGTAAAATTTTTAACTTCCATTAATCTAAAGCTCTACTACCATCAAACAAATGGTGAAACTGGCCTCAGATCACCAGATCTGGCAGCTTCTACCAGCAGCAGATTGGAGTGGAGATGCTCAGCAGACTGTGTGGCCCTTTAGCTTGGAAAGATGGAGCTTCCATCGGAAATGCAATGGCCAAACACTCTGTAATATAACAGGACAGGAAAAGATCCAGCTGAGCTCATAACACAAATCTCTCGCAAAAAAACAACCCAAACAAACAAAAAAAAAAAATGGAAGACAATGTGACCCAAAACTGTATAGTTGCAAGAATTCTTAAAAATATCTTGTTTTGTCAAAATTCTATCATCATTTACTCATCCTCATGTCATTCCAAACCTGCATGCACTTCTTCTGTAAAACACAAAAGAAGATATTATGAGGAATGTTGGTTTCAGTTTTGGGTCCTAATGACCTCCATAAAATGGATTAAAAATACAATAAAAGTCAGTGGGATGTTCAAAATATAAAAAATATTATTGGCTTCCATAGTAAGGACAAAAAATTCAGTGGAAGTCATTGGGACCCAAAACTGTTACCAACATTCTTCATTATATCTTCTTTTGTGACAATTCTGTTATCATTATCTCACCCTTCATGTTGTTCCAAACCCCAGATTAATTTACAGTGATGAGTAAAATTTTTAACTTCCATTAATCTAAAGCTCTACTACCATCAAACAAATGGTGAAACTGGCCTCAGATCACCAGATCTGGCAGCTTCTACCAGCAGCAGATTGGAGTGGAGATGCTCAGCAGACTGTGTGGCCCTTTAGCTTGGAAAGATGGAGCTTCCATCGGAAATGCAATGGCCAAACACTCTGTAATATAACAGGACAGGAAAAGATCCAGCTGAGCTCATAACACAAATCTCTCGCAAAAAAACAACCCAAACAAACAAACAAAAAAAAAAACCCATCTGATATGTTCAACAATCTCGAACTCTCAGACAATGCTGTTCTGTTGACCCAGCATTTCAGTAATGAAGTTAGTGACCCTGCATAAAATATGCTGGTAACCAGAGGGTGATTTATCACATGGCAGCATGGAGTGTAGTTGCCTACCCAATCATTTTAGATGAACGGGAAATGATAATTAGATTTCTAGATGATGTCTGTCCTTTGTGTGATTCTGTGTGTGAGTTAGTGCTCTGCAGTGATGTCTGTCCTGTGTTTGTGTGTGTGTGTGTGTGTGTGTGTGTGTGTCTGCTCTGTATTCATCTATATATCTCATAATGAAAAAAATTGTTGTTTTCCCATGTAGACTAAGATTGAAACACATCTATGTCAAAACAGTACTGTTACATTTGTCTAAATATACAGTGAACTGTTTTCAAGTTTGGGTTGGTAAGATGTTTTAAAAAAATGAAAAATTTTATTCTGCCAGGGTACATTAAATTGCTGAAATAAAATTACAAATAAAATAAAATAATCAATAAATCAATAAATAAAACTGTTCTTTTGAAGTTTCTACTCATCAAAGAATTCTAAAAAACGATCACAGTTTCCACAAAAATAACAGCACAGTTGTTTTCATTATTAATAATAATAAGAAAAGTTTCTTGTTGAAAAAGCAGCTTTGCCATCACAGAAATAAATTGCCTTTAAAATGTTATTTAAACAGTTATTATATTAATATTTAACCATATTACAGTTATTGCTTTATTTTTATCAAATAAATGCAGCCTTGGTGAGCATAAAATGCTTCTTTCAAAAAAAATTTAACTCTTTTTTAAACAGTATATATTCTGGGTAACATAATCAGGTCTGTGAATTGCATCATCTTTAAATATTCTGAGGAGTTTGATGTGCTTTCTGCCTTATACGAGTTATTATGTAAGTCTACAGTATCTGTGCATAAGTACTGTACAGTGCAGTATACTGTAAGTGTAAAAGTATCTCATGGAAGTTATCAGGTCTAATGGATGGTAGTATAATAACCAAGGCCATATTAGAGGCCAGGTGCATCCTGGTGTTCCTTCAAGATATTTGCATATTTCAAGACCATTATTTCCCCCTCACCCGGGTAGATAAATTCAGGAGTGCTTTAATGAATGTAGACAAATGCCTTCTGTGGCAGATAATTAAACTTTCATGGGAAGTTATAAAGCAGCAAGACACTTCCTATATATTGTAGATACTGTAAGCATTTTTTGGAGTAGCATAGCATATGGTGTATAGTGAAACACTGTAAGTGTATGGTCAGCAAAGAAAGTGCTATTTCTGGAGAGTCTTTGTGTAATCATTAAATATCATTATGAAAATGTACCAGCCTCTAGTACCCTTAAATATTTACAAGCCATTTACAGAAACTGTTTGAACATATTCTTGTCAGGACAGCTAGATTGCCCTTGCTCTTTTAATATAAAAGTTGGTTATAATCTTTCACCTCAATACAAACAATGTCATGCTTTATGACCAGGCCCCATCGATTCGGAATTAAATACTATGTTTAGGGTGAGTAACATCAACAGGTATTCAGTATTTAGCAACGTGATTCACCCAAATGAATGGCAATCATAGCAGATCATTCTTAAAGTTATAGCAGCAATTAAAGCTTGTGAAATAATGTTTTGGTGCAAGAAATATTGACTAATATTGGAAGTGAACTAATTAAGTAGAACAAATTGTCTTCAAAGCAGGATATTTGAAGTGGCATCATGCTTTTAGTGTATTAATTAAAGATCTCAGAGCAATACGAGCAAAACTCTAAATAGTCCATAGTCAAACTTCGATGGGGGAAAAAACACTTTTGTGCTGTAATACAGCTTCAGGCTAGAATTTTGAAGGAGAAGCGGGCAAAAAAAAATGGAGAAGCTTTTTATAAAAAAAAGTTCCAAGTGTTTTTAAAGATGTAAGAATAGCACTGCAGTTCTCTTGCATTATCAAACTGCAAGTCAAATGAGGTTTGTACAACTTTAACATCCAAAAACATCATTTTTTATTTTTAAGGTTGTACATTTGATTACACACTTTTAAATTGCTAGTAGATATTTTGATTCTCTGATGTACGTGTCTTTGCGTCATTTGTGTGTGAGTTGGCGAGACATTGCTCTTCTAAAATAGATTTGAAATGACAGTTCTTCCCCGTAAAAACATGTTTAAAAAATGTCAGGTCTCAACCGAACACAAGTTTCACATTAGCGCACAGATGAACGTATGAATATTTTATCAAACTCACCACATCTTCACCGCAGCCTATTTTCAAATGCTGTCAATATTCAACACTTCATTTAACGGGAAACGTAAACAACAGGTTGTTGGATATCTTTCCATTCTCTCTCTTTCTTTATCACACCGTGCGTATAAGTGCAGATACCGCTAGGCTAAAACTACTGAACGAAAAGTGCTTCTCATTTCAATAACAGCTTTCAATGGGATCTTTCTGATCTGTAATGAGGCGTTTCTGGGCTTCTGAAGGTCAGCTGTTTCTGGGCTGTTTCTGGGCTTTTTCTGGGCTTCTGAAGGTCGTCACATTATTCTGGCACAAAAAGTGCCTCAGTTCTTGTAACTGACAGTCTTAAAACACTTATAATGGCATAATCATGGTAACTGCTTTGATTTATTTCAAATCTCTCAGAATAGTCACAAAAACTTCATGCACTTGGAATTTATCATTTTAGTTGAAATATTGCTGCTTATTGTCCTTAAGTGGTCTCAAGGCCATGGCCTGAGCTCAATTTCTGGTCAGGACATGTGGTTCAGTAGGTGTCTTTTGGTGTGGCTACATCGCAGTACAAGCGCTTGAGCAAGACACTTAACCCCAGGTTACTCCAGAGGGGCTGACTGTGTCAACGATCCACATTGCGTCATGATCTATAGCAGCAGTGGCGAACTCCGGTCCTGAAGAGCCGCAGCCCTGCAGAGTACAGCTCCAACCCTAATTAAAACTCACCTGCCTGTAGCTTTCTAGTAACCCTTCAGACCTTGATTAGCCTGTTCAGGTGTGTTTGATTAGGGTTGATGCAAAACTCTGCAGGGCTGCGGCTCTCCAGGGCCGACGTTCGCCACCCCTG